AAATATAAATCAAGAGCAGATTCTTCATCATATCCGACTAGGCGGCACGAGTGGCGCAGTTTTCGGGCTTGAAGTTTTGGTTTGCGGCTTTGTTGAATCTTTATGCTAGTGGTGGTGGCCGAGAGTTGGGTCTGCTAGGTGTAGGAGAGGTCTTAATTTATTTGTAAATTAGGTGTGTGTTTTTTCTTTCTTTCTATTTTCGTTTATTAAATGTGAGTTGTTTTTCTTTCTTTTTTTTGATTATGTTTTTAATTCATTAAGTCCATTTGTGTCTGGCATTCAGTCTCCGTAATGGAGTTTCTATCTCTTTTCTGGAGTTGGGTTTTTGTGTGCGGTTATCTCCTAGATGGAGTTTGTACCTCTTGGACTCATGTATTTGTTCAAGGGGTAGGTCCAAATTTTTTTGTTCCTGTTGTGTCCGTTGATACTCCTTTTGTACTACCTTCTGAGTTTTTTAGTTTTAATATAATTATCGTTTGGAAAAAAAAAATTGCATGGCGACTGAAAAAATATTACAATTTCAAGCTACATATAAATAAATTATATGCTCATTTAATTCTTTTATTAATTTGTTTATACCTCATATTTATTCTTTCTTGTTATTTACTAAATTTCTTGGAAAATGCTACATGTACATAATAAATGTACATAAAAGCGTACATAACACTCACATGGAGTAGGGTTCACTTGATTTTGTATTTTTAATGGGCCTCACTCAATGTGAGTATTATGTACACCTTTATGTATACTAAATATGTACTTGTAGTTCAAATTTATTTATTTATTTTTTAGGGAAATGCTACCATCCCGTTACGGTACCATCCCGTCGGGTGTTTTAACCGTTGGATCATCGATCTTATCTAACTACACGTAAATTTAATGGTTAAAACAACCGACGAGATGGTACCGTAACGGGACCGTAGCATCTCCCTTTTAGGGAAATGCGACTTTTCATCTTTTCTTCTTCCTCTAGTGGGTGTGGTTTGAAATTAAGACCCATTATAATTTATAACTCCATTGGTTACACAAATTATAACTCAGCAAACACAAGGGAGAATAAATGGATTCATGATATATGAAGGGTCACCTGTTACGGGTCCCTTTTAAATTCCTCCTTTTCATGGTTTCATAAATGTTGAATAAAAGGATTAATTGCATTTAAAATCTTAACTTTTTGTGTAATTGCAAATAAAATTTAAATTTTTTTAGTTTGGTATAAAAATACCAAACATTTAATAAGTATTGCAATTCTGTCTCACCCATCGGACTATCGCCGCCAACCGCCACCCGCCACCCGCCACCGGCCAACTTCGTCGGATGTTGAAAATTTTTACATGATTTTGTAGCTCTCCTCCGTGCCGACAACATATCCGAGTTTCACGAAAAAATTCCGACGATAATGCTTCCAATTTTCCGATCAAAATCGTAGATCTTCAAATTTTCTCCGGCATTCTTTCGCAAATTCCCGGTGACTCGCTTTGAACCATGTGAATCCGAAGGTACAGTTAGACTCCTTTCGCAAAGCTGCATCTAGTGACGTTCACCTTCGCCGGAACCGGTGACTTTTTCCGGCGATGATTTTTCCGGTCATCTTATTCAAAATTTGGTATGGCCAGAAATTGATTTTGAGAAACAATTGCAATACTTATTAAAAGTTTGGTATTTTTTTGCCAAATTAAAAATGTTGTATTTTATTTACAATTACCCAAAAGGTTAAGATTTTAAATGCATCAACCCTTAATAAAATGGTAGTGTGAACTGAACTTCCTCCACGTGTTGCCTATATATCTCCTCATAAAGAAAAGGGTGAAATGAAAACGAAATTCCAACATATTAGTGAAAGTTGAGAAATGCTACAGCCGTGTCGGATTTTGTAACCGTTAGATTATTATGTAATTGTCGGGAATAATTGATATACCAGTTACAAACCCAACAAAATCGTTCCGTTACAGGACCGTACCATCTCCTGTAAAAATGCCGACAGTTAATTTGATTCATCCTTTAAATTACGATAACGTAACCACGCTTGATTGGAACTTTCTAAGTTATATTATGGTGGCTCAACTCATGACACTCTTAAATGCAAAACCAACCAATCAAACTTATATTTAGAAAATCAAATAAAGTTCCCTCCAACTTACAATACGATGGTCCAATCGATCTGACTTGTCGGTTCGGCTTGATTTTTTAAATTTATATAAAAGATGGTTCAACAGGAATCGATCAGTTGACCGGTTCGATTCGCTGGAATGAACCGACTGCCAGCGAACCAGTAAAAATTCAGTTAACGATCAATTGAACTGGTCAGAATCGAAAAAAAAAAAAGCCGATTGGACTGGTTTAAACCGGTCCAACTTTTTTAAAATAAATTTAACGTTTGAAAAAATGAATATAAATAAAAAATACATCGATTAAATATAAATAAATATATATAAGTTAGTTTAAGTATTCGAATGTCTAAAATTGTCTAAATATTTTATTAACATAGTTTTTATATATAGCTTTTGTTATATATAATATTATATTAAAAATATTAATAAATTAAATAACAGTCGGTTCAATCATTGGTCAGACTAGTAAACCATTGAACGAGTAGTTTGACCAGTACGTTGATCGATTCGGTTTTTGGAATTTCAAATGGTAGAGAAGAAATAAACAGACGACAAATCAGAAATACAATGGTTTACAAATAATAACAAATGGGCCATGAAGAGGTTTTGAGGAGCTGGAGATAAACCCATGTGCATTATTAATGGGCTGTAGATGTTGTAAAGCGCGGGCCCAAATAAAGGTGCACAAGTAATGACCCCATCTCGCAAGAGCTGACCCAGTGGCACAGGTCATGTGTTATATTCTTGCTGGGCTTTGTGGTTTTGGTGGAATTAGCACTTGATTTTTACTGTATTGTTGGCCAATACAGTAAAAATCATTACTATATAAATGATTTGGTGTTGATATAATCATGAAAATTTTTGCTGAAATTGGAGAATGTAGAAGATAGAAAGGAGGGAAAGAGAGGGTGAGAGTTGAAATATGCATGTCCACTGTTTTCCAGCTTAGACTGATGGACAGATCGAGAGGTTAAATTAGTGTATGGAGGCCTATCTGAGGTGCATGGTACATGACGACCCTAAACAATGGTTCGAATGGCTTCCCTATGGTACAACATCGGTACAACACTAATTACTATGACGGCCTAAAAATTATCCCATTTCAGGCTCTATATGGGTATCCTCCACCATTATTTTCCCTTCATTTCTACACTAAAACCCCCCGACGTAGAGGACCAACAACAAATACATGACAAATCAGAGATGATGAAATAGATCAATAACAATCTCAGGCAAGCTTATGAGTTTGTTCAAAGTTCATATTCGTGGTTTGAACGAGTTGTGCGTTGTCATTCTCCAGTAAATAAAAATGTCGTTCGTTCTCATTCTCGTGAATATAACTAAATACGGGTATGTCCAATACTAACACACAATATAACTCAATTTAACCCCTAATCACAAGCACCACAAGTTGCAATACTTGTGATGACCCTAAATTCACAAATCGTGCAAGTCTATTTTACCCACCACAACCCTAATGTGGACTCAAAACAGAAAACCCACCTAAACAAACCCGGAAGATTTGACCCAATTAATTACGTTCCAACCCCTTATCTCAAGTGGGCCCACCACGTGTTTACATCCTAAGACGCCATTAACTCAGTCACACCCTATCCACCGTCGATTGGCTTCCAACCACACTATATAGGTCATTTTCATTTGTGTGAGGGTCCCTCACTTTCCTCTCGCACCACCGTTAGATAAGAAGTGGGTCCATTTCATTTTCGTCCCCCAACAAAAACCAGAACACACATGGCCTCAATTCTACCCCACCACCACCGCCCCTCCTCGGTGGCGCACTGCCAAAATCTTGAACCGGGCGAAGTTGGGAACGCGGCCCTTCCGTCTGACCCGCTTCTTTCGAGCGATTACACCATCTCTGCCGTCGAGGACGTGGGGACCGACCCACCACCGCCCCCGCCGTCGTCGGTCGGTCCCAAGCACGAACCGCCGGAGACCCATCTGGAGGGATCCGGTCGGGAGCTAGTAGTGCTTCCCTCGCCGGCGGCGGCGATGCTGGCCGCGGCCCCGCCGCCGAAGAGGTCGAACAGGGACCGCCACACGAAGGTGGAGGGTCGCGGGCGACGGATCCGGATGCCGGCGGCTTGCGCCGCCCGCATATTCCAGCTGACGCGCGAGCTCGGCCATAAGTCCGACGGCGAGACCATACGTTGGCTGCTCGAGCGGGCCGAACCGGCCATCATCGAGGCCACGGGCACCGGGACCGTGCCCGCCATCGCCGTCTCGGTGAACGGCACCCTGAAGATCCCCACGACCGCCGCCGCCGGTGCCGCGCCGGAAACCTCGAACAAGCGCAGGCGGAGGGCCTCGAACAGCGAGTTCTACGAAGTCGGCGACGCGTCCAGCTTCGCCCCCGTCGCGCCCATTGTGCCGCAGGGCCTGGTTCCGGTTTTCCCCGGCGGCGCTCTATTCATGATACCGCCCTCCGGTGGGGCCGCCGGCCCGTCCAGCCAGCCGCAGTTCTGGGCCATACCGGCCGCGACGGCGCCGGTTTTCAACGTCTCCGGGTGTCCGGTGTCGAACTTCGTCACTTTCGGGGCTTCCCCTGGTGGCGGCTCTACCGTCTCCGGCGGTGAGATTGAAGCGGGAGCTAACGGCAGTACTTGCGGTAGTGACGACAACAAAGGTGCAACTGTGACAGAGCCCGGTACAAGTCCTGGGGGGAGTACTACTGCAGTAGCGGCGGGTACAACCAGCCCCGCGCATCTGATGAGGGACTTATCCTTGGAGGTTTACCAAAAGAGGGAGCTTCAGTTTATGGTGGGCTCCGCCGCAGGGAATCACGACCAGACCCCATCCCCAGAACCCTGAAGAATTGGAATGAAGTAAGCTGCTGAAAATCAGATTAGGGTTTTAGGCCACAAATTATTGGGATAATTTGGAATTTGATGGTAAGAAAGAGTATGGAAAAATGCTAGGCTATTTTCATATTTATTTTTTCCCCTTTTCCAGTATTATTATTTTTAATTTTTTTTGACTCTTGGTATGCATGCTATTGCTACAATTTGTGAATAACTCTATTTTAAACCATTTTTAGGCTCTATCTTTCGAGAGATGTTACTGTCCCGTTGCGGAATCATTCTTGACGGTTACACGATGATCTAACGGTTATAAACTCCGACAGAATGATTCCGGAACCGTAGCATTTCCCCTATCTATATTCATGAAAGGCTGGCACCTGAGAAAAAATTAAATAAAAGAAAGGTAGAATAGGAAAGAGTAAAATGATTCAGAAATAAAATGGAGAGAGGACAATAATTTGGTTGTGGGTGACAATTGAGGAAATCTGATTTTGAATTTGTCCTGTGTACCGACTCTGGCTATTAGCTGTAAATTTTCAGATACAGCTATTCAATTTGGGTAGTTTATTTATTTAAAAATAAAAAAAATTAACTGGACAAAAATAAAAGAAAAAAAAAATGAGTGGACCAAAATAAAACAGGCGTATTCTGGGAATACGTTTTTCGAATTTTTTTTTTTTTAAAAAACGTATTCTCAGAATACGTTTTTTTTTATTTTTATTTTTATTTTATTTTTTTTTAAATAAAATATTAAAAAAATATTTTTTTAAAAATAATTTATAAAACGTATTTTCAAAATACTTTTTTAACAAAAAAAATATTTTATTTAATATTTTTTGTATAAAAAATTATTTTTTAATAAAAAAGATTTTTTTATTTAATTTTTTTTGTATAAAAATTATTTTTTTAATAAAAAAATATTTTTTAAATAATTTTTTTTGTATAAAAATTTTATAATAAAAAAATTATTATAAAAATTTATTTTATTTAATTTTTTTTGTATAAAAAATTATTTTTTAATAAAAAATTATTTTTTATTTATTTATTTTTTGTATAAAAATTTATTTTTTAATAAAATAAATTATTTAATTTTTTTGTATAAAAAATTATTTTTTAATAAAAAAATTCGTTTTCAAAATTTGTTTCAAAATCCATCTATTTTGTAGTTTATTTTTTATTTAATTTTTTTTAAACAAAAAAGTCAAATTCACAAATAAAAAAAAAATAATTTATAACTCGAATTAGTCCAATTGAGGTCAAATTAGTACAATCTCGGTCAATTATAGTGTAATCGAACTCGAATTAGCCCAATTGAAGTCAAATTAGTATAATATCGATCAATTATAGTGTAATCGAACTCGAATTAGCCCAACTGAAGTCAAATTAGTACATTATCGATCAATTATAGAGTAATCGAACTCGAATTAGCCCAATTGAAGTCAAATT